AATGATTATCAAATGTATCATTAGATTTACACATGATTATTGCCCAAGTATTTAACTCATTAGCTAACTCATCAATTTGATCCATAGTATATGGAGTAATAATTTTATTGGGAGAAATTCCAAACACTCCCTTCTCTGCTTTTATTCCTTTGAGTATTAATTGTCCTACAGCCTCAGGATACCTAGTAAGAATAGTGTTAGGAGAATAAGATAAATGTATCCACAATAATGGACCTTCTTGCCAAAATACTCCTGTAGGAATATTTTTTGTTGGTAGTACAATAAATAATAAAGGCAAACTTATATCAATTCTATCCAAATGTATATTTTCCATGTATGTTTCAATAATTTTTAATGCCTTTCTTGCTTTAGGAGTTAACATGCGGGGTGAATTTGGATCTGATGGACCTTTTAGAATATCAAATAAAGGTCCCAACTCTCCTGTTGGTATACCTAGATAAGGCCTTATCCAATTTATGTCTCCTAATAACTTTTGAAAGTCGTTAAGTGATTTGAGTTGATCTACTCGTATTTGAATTTTTGGTGGACGGACCATGGTTGAGGATAATAGAACTCCTAAATAATTAATTGGAAAATTTAATTGTACTTTATCTATTGCTATCTCTAGATTATAATTTTTTAATAAGTTTGTAAGCGTGGCATAACATTCCAGCAATATGTTTTTATCTTTATGTGCCAATAATACATCATCCATATAGTGAAATATTTGTAGTTCAGGATTTTGATTTCTAAGTGGCTGGATTATTTTGTTAACATATATTTGACACATAGTTGGACTGTTAGCCATCCCTTGAGGGAGTACTTTCCATTCATATCTCTGATCAGGACCTTCATGATTTAATGCAGGGATAGTAAATGCAAAACGTGGACTATCCTCGGGATGAATTAGAATTGAAAAAAAACAATCTTTAATATCTATAGCTAAAACAGACCAGGTTTTTGGCAAAGCAGACAATTGAGGAATCCCTGATTGAGCAGGTCCCATAATAACCATCTCATTATTAATGGCTCTTAAATCTTGCAATAATCTCCATTTACCAGATTTCTTTTTGATGACAAAAATGGGAGTATTATGGGGAGATATGGAAGGTTGTATATGTCCTTCCGCTAATTGTTGTTTGACCAGATCATGGGCTACTTGTATCTTTTCTTTAGTCAGGGGCCACTGAGGAACCCACACTGGTCTTTCTGATTTCCAAGTAATTTTGATTGTCTCAGTGGCCCTTTCTGAAAATCCAACCCATGTCTGTCTGTTCCTTGATCTATTTGTATTGGTGCTGCTATACCTTGCCCTTGTTTTCCTAATCTTTTTTCTTTCCTAAAGCATTGTCTAGCCCTAGTAGTGGGCGCATTAAGATTGATGTTATTTGTTAACGTCAAACCTAATTGATCTAGGACATCTCGTCCCCATAAATTTATAGGAAGATGATCCAATACATATGGCTGTATAGTTCCTTCACATCCTTCAGGATCCTTCCAATCTAATATCATAGAACTTCTATGGGGATTAGTCGCCACTCCTAGGCCTTGAAGCGTTTGAGTGGCTTGTTGTAATGGCCAATGTTTTGGCCATTCTTGACGAGAGATGATGCTAAGGTCAGCTCCTGTGTCCAGTAGCCCATTAAACTCATGACCTTGAATATTTAGTTTTAGCATTGGGCCACTCAGTTAATCCCTGTCAGGGCATTAATTCACTGATTGGGTTAAGACTCTTATAACCCAATCATTTCTCCTCTGAACCTTCTTGCATTGTCTCACATGTGGGCTTTTGAGGGACACCTCACATCTAAACCATAACAATGATAATAACCCAAATGTCACTGGCCATCTGTTCTATAACCCCTCAGTCCCTTCAAACCTCATCACAGCCCAAAACAACATTTTAGAGAATTTCTCAGGAGAGGGGCACACACTATAGGACACAATAATGGCTGGAGACATGGGTGAGTGTAGCTAGTTGGGAGAGGCTCACAGCCTAACGTGAGACTCATTCTGAAACGCAAGAGAGGATAATAAAAGTCATATAAATAAAATTCCAGATACAAATGGAGAAAAAGAGAAGTGATTTAAGTCTGCACACTGGTGAACCTCTCAGCAAGAGGGAGACATGGCAGCTTGGGCCCCTCTACACACTGAGTGGCAAGAAGATAGTTGATGACATCTGCAGCCAAGATCTTTCTGAAATCACATGGACAGACCCATGCCCAGACACCTAGAGTAGCACAGCTATAGGCAGGACAGACTGCCATAGTATCCTTTTCTGTGGGGGTGGATTTCAATGACCACAATATAAGGCTATTTGATGAAATGTTTAACCCAAGGTAAGCTGCACAGAGGACAGGTGATTTTAGTTATCTGGAAATTGTATACAAACAGTGGAAACTATACTGATATATTTAAAGAAAAATCAATGCCAAGTAAAAACCAAACCCTTCTATCCATTTAATGAAATTTTGCTATTACAAAAATTTATAAGACCTACTGATATGTAATAAATGATGCCTCAGTTGCAAGGAATCAATAATGCAATGCAAGTGTCCTAAGATTTTTTTGTTTTGTTTTGTTTGGTACTGTGGATTGAACCCAAGGGCACTTTACCACTGAGCTACACCCCCAGCCCTTTTTATTTTTTATTTTGAGATAGAGTCTCACTAAGTCACTTAGAGCCTCACTAATTGCTGAGGCTGGCTTTGAACTTGTGATTCTTCTGCCTCAGACTCCTGAGCCACTGGGATTATAGGCCTTTGCTACTATACCCAGCTTGTATTTGTGGCTTTTAAGAAGTGAACCAGAAGAGTCATTTCTCACAAGGAGGTGATAGATCTACTACCTTTGGGGGAGTACTTCCATAAACAAAAAAGAAAACTTCTACATGGCCAGGAAACTTCATACCTCTGCCCCCAAGCCTCTGTCCTCAATGCACCAGACTGAACTGAGCTCTGTTGGTTCATTCATGTGGCAGACACACAGCCTCTTTGATCATGCATTGTGAATAATAAAAACCTACAGGTGGGATCTTCTCGAACATTTATTGGAAGAATACAAATATTTTGCAAAATGCAAGAAATCAAAGTGACAAACGTGTTTTTTTAAACTTTTATTTGCAATTATTTTATGCTGAATTTATTCCTGTGCCATCAGTTTTTATTTCTTCAGTTTCTCCTGGGGTATCTTTTTCTTCTGTGCAACTTTTTCTTCTGGTTTAGGAATAAATTGTTGCTTTTCAGTGAGGATCATCTGTATGTAGCGAGGGAACTCATATGGGTTAATCTGATCATGAGGTCTATAAGTACAGTGGTGCATCCTGTGTGCTTTGTTTACCTGGATATGTTCAATGAGCAGAGAATCTATGTCTAAACTCTTAAGTTCAGTATTATTCTGCATTTTTCAGCATGTGTAGCACAAATTCAGCACACTTTTTGGGCCACCAACCTGTGTCCACCCCAATGTTTGGCCTAGGCACACCTCCTAACTCCACCATTGTAAGCCTGGACTGTAAAATATTGCTTCTTTAAAGTGACATCTTTCAGGTTCTTGGTGGCTTTTCAAATATGCATACCCTTGATGGCTGGCACAGTTTCATGAATGGTCCTAAAGTGAACATGTAGATTTGAACCTCTTAATTTGCATGATTTCATGGGTTTTTTTGGAGCAAGAGAGTAGTAAACCATTTTCACAGATCATCTCAGGCTCCTTACAGAAGGGAGCAAACATGTTTTAAAGATAGACATGAGCATAGCTTAGGAGAACCTACTAGGAGGTCTTCTAAACTACATTCTATGCATGAAAGGGTATTAATGAGACTGCAGGTTATCACTCTGGACCTCATAAGCACAGCTGGCTCAACTAGGGTAAGGTGAAAAGTACCAAACCAAGTAGCTATGGCCAGAGGACTGATTGAGTCACACAGAAAACAGAAGAGTATGGGAAGATCTCAGAGAAAAAACTCCTACTGGACAGATTAGTCAGCCTGAGACTACTGCCCTCATCATGTAAGAACAAAAATGTACTAGATGGTTTTTGACATGCCCTATGAGGAAAACATTTAAAAACATCTCTTGAAGAAGCACAAAAGAATGTATCATAGACCATTAAAACAACCCAAACTCTGAGCTCATCCCAAAACACACAGTAGCCCAAAGTCAACTCCTATTCATAAATATAAATAGCTGATGTCACAGTGCCAGTCCTTGAGTCAACATGCTCCAAGTGAAGTTCATGATTCTTGTAGGACTGCTACCATGCTGTAAAATTTAAAAAACCTATAGACTAAATGTTAACTTTAAAAATTCCCAGTGCTACATATGATGCTATGTAGAATGCCAATACTACATATAAATTGAAGAATCAAAGTAAAATAACAGTATATAGGCAGTGAAAGGCATTGCTCATTCCTCCATGTACAAGTATTATCCTGTAGTTGAGTTCTAAAATATAAAAATTCATGGGGCATGGGTGTGCACACCTGTAATCCCAGTGACTTAGAAGGCTGAAATGGGAGAATGGCAAGTTCAAGGCCAACCTGAGCAATTTAGCAAGACCCTGTCTCAAAATTAAAAAAAAAAAATGGTTGGGGATGTAATTCAGTGGTAAAACACCCTGGATTTGATGCTCAGTACCCCCAAAACATAAATATATAAATTTAAAAAATAAAATCTAAAACCATTTGGTGGGGAGCATTTGTCTGTAATTATGGGAGCTTCCATGCATGCCTCTAATTCCAGGTTCCCAGGTCAATCCGATCTGGACTTTGGAGAAGCTGAGGTGCTTGGTTTCTGCCTGAAATTGCCCTTCACACTCCATATATCAGCACTCTGACTGCTCAACCAGCCCAAACTGGAACTAGAGTGGAATCTACAACAGGATTTCCAACACTGTGTAAGGCAACTATGTATGACTGATGGGGAGAGAGATTGGAAAAACCCAGGAATTCCATTAGTCATCACTGGATACAGTCCACGGTTGTTTTTTCAAAAAGACCAGAAGCAGTGAACAGGTCTCTGTGTTAACGAAAACGGGCAAGGGAAGCTCAGAACATCAACCCGAATACAGGTATGCAGCGGGCAACCCAGTACCAATGAGCAATCTACACACTGTATTAGTGGAATCAGCACTGTGGGCTCAAGGGTTATATGCAAATCCAGAGGGCTCTATAGGAGATGATTCAAATTGTATACTGCAGTTACATATGTTTCTCATATTCTTCCCTCCTTCTCTAATATCACCATGCACTAATTTTCCTTAACAAAAAATCTGATTCCTGACAGCCGCTGCCTGCTCCTCCGCCGCCACCAGAGCCACCCGCGCCAGCCAGCCAGCCCCGGCCATGGACCACCCGCAGTGCCACAGCTTACCCCAGGACCTGTCCGACTCCTTGAAGGAGGCCACCATGGAGGTGCACACCCAGGCAGAGAATGCCGAGTTCATGAGGAACTTCCAGAAGGGCCAGGTGACCCGAAAGGGCTTCAAGCTGGTGATGGCATCCCTGTACCACGTCTACGTGGCCCTGGAGGAGGAGATCGAGCGCAACAAGGACGACCCCGTCTTTGCCCCACTCTACTTCCCCGAGGAACTGCACCGCAGGGCCGCACTGGAGCAGGACATGGCCTTCTGGTACGGGCCACGCTGGCAGGAGGCTGTACCCTACACAGCAGCCACGCACCGGTATGTGGATCGGCTGCAGCAGGTGGGGGGCAGGGAGCCCGAGCTACTGGTGGCCCACGCCTACACCCGCTACCTGGGTGACCTGTCCGGGGGCCAGATCCTCAAGAAGATTGTGCAGAAGGCCCTGGACCTGCCCAGCTCCGGAGAGGGCCTGGCCTTCTTCACCTTCCCCAACATCGCCAGCGCCAACAAGTTCAAGCAGCTCTACCGCTCACGCATGAACACTCTGGAGATGACCCCCGAGGTCAGGCAAAAGGTCATTGAAGAAGCCAAGACCGCATTCCTGCTCAACATTCAGCTGTTTGAGGAGTTGCAGGAGCTGCTGACCCAAGACCCCGAGGACCAGCGCCCCTCACAGACGGCAGGCCTTCACCCCCATGCCAGCAGCCAGGTGCAAGGTGAGGACCTCCTGGGCTCCCATTGAAAGGGATGAAGTGCCAGGGTCTGCCCTAGCAGGGTTCAGGGAGTCCTGAAGGATGAGTGGCGTTGGCGAAAAGGATGAGACAGGAGTCGTTCCATTGCAGCAATCTCCAGAGAGAGCACTAATGCAGCTTTCTCTGGGTCATCTTTTATTGCAATGTTTCTCATCATTATGGATTCAGAATACGTCATTGATTATACAATTTCAAAACTTTGCCAAGAAGTGACATTTCCTTAACCATCATTAGGAGTATAGAAAAATGTAACATCAATTTACATTTTTCCAGGACGTGACCTTTACTTATCAATTATTAAGGGTACAAAATCATTAATAAAATGTCACTAATTTACAAAGAAAATCTGATTCCTGACATCCTGACAACTACTTATTTATTTATTTTGGTTGGTAACAGGGGTTGAATCCAGGGGAGCTTTATCACTGAGCCACATCCCGGGCTCTTTTAAAAAATGTTTTATTTAGAGACAGGGTCTCACTAAGTTGCTTAGGGCTTTTCTAAGTTGCTGAGGCTGGCTTTGAACTCATGATTCTCCTGCCTCAGCCTCCTGAGGTTGCTGGGATTACAGACGTGCACCACCGTACCTGGCTCCTGCTAAGTATTCTATCAGGTGATGCGGATAAATCATAGAGATCAAACCTGCCAACTGGAAGGATTTAGGTACTCAAGGATGGGGAGTTAAGAGAAGTACAGTACAGCCCCCTGGGCCAACAGAATGTGGACATCAACATATTTATCTGAATCATCCATAATCAGGTTTTACATTGCATTCCTCAACCGAACTGACTGGGACAAGTATAGGCAAAAGCAACTGCTCAGACTGGTAACTTGTCCTGGATGTCCCTTTGCACAAATTCTACTTGAGGAAGTTCTCTGCACACACCTGACTTTGGCCAGGACTCAGGAATACCCACAAGTGGGGAGTAGAGGGAGGGAACTAGTATCTCATGGTAGAATATTGTATGGGCAAATCCACAGTAAAATACAAAATAAAAGTTTAATTCTCTTGGTAAAAGAGGGAAGAAAACTATCCCTTCTATTTTCTTAGAGTATTTCTTTTAGAAAACTTGTTTTCTTTTTTCTTCTCCACATTGCAAAGTATACAAATCTTTTTAAAAGCTAAATAAACTTCCTGCCAATATTACAATCAGGATTGGACAAAGATGGCCATACCACCCTGAGCATACTTCATATTCTCTGATCTTTTGGGCCCAGTTAGTACCTGTGTAACAGTAGTCTACTTTATGCTTTGAATATAGCCCTTGCTGCTCTGCCATTGCAACTTTTTTTAAATACTTACTAATTTTTTAATTTGTTCTACTTAGTTGTACATGACAGCAGAATGCATTTCAATTCATCATACACAAATGGAACACAACATCTCAAGTCTCTGGTTGTGCACGGTGTAGAGACACACAATTCATGCAATCATACATGTACCTTGGGTAATGGTGTCCATCTCATTCCACCATCTTTCCTACCCTCATAACCCCTCCTCTTGTAACTGATTTTTAAAATGGACATTTTTCTCTTCTTCTCTCCCTGCTCCTCCCTAATCTCTCCCCCTCTCTAATCTCAGGGAAAACAGGATTACCTTTCTTCCCCATCCTAGGCAGAGTTAGCTGTCCCTGAGCACACATCCACCACAAGAATGAAGTAATCCAGACATTGGGGGTGGTACCAGAAAGTCTCAGAAATGACTATCTGCCAAATTAACAAGTGAATGTCAACTCCAAAAGAGAACATATGGAATTCAGACTTTGGGTCACCTCTTTAAAAACCCCTGTTCCTGCTTATGGGCAGAATCACAGCTTCTGGGACTGGAGTTCTTTGTGTTTCTCCTTTGCTAGCAAAACAATAAAACTTTTTTTTTCCTTTTTCTCAAAACTGTGTCCTTGTTATTGGATTGGTATCAGAGAAAGAGACCGAGGTTTTGACAACACTTAGATGGAAGGAATGTATAAGGAACTAGTAGCAAAAACATTTGGGCTGTATGAGAACTGGGGAAAGAGGAAGAGGGGACAACAGTTAAAACCAGAACCTGAGCCAGGCTCTCCTGTGACAGACACAGGGAAATGCATGTCACAGGCAGCACCCAGGCAGCCCAGGAAGCCACAGAAGAAAGATCTGGAATATGAATCAGATGAGGGACACAGCACATCCAGGTTCCAACCACTCAGCAAAAGCAAGAGCAGCTCCTTCTCACAACTCCCTCACCTGACTCACCTGCCCAACATCAAGAGAGGGTGCAGAGCCACCTACCTCCATGGCCATCTTCACAGCCTAAGGCTGACCCAGCACAGCCTTCACCAACACACAAACCCAGCATCCTTGGGGTAAATGGGACATAAGAACCCCCCCCCCCCACCATCCTAAATGTTTCAATTTGCCGAGGACCATGACCTCTCATATTGCTCACACTCAGCAATGTGCACTGAGCCAGGCTGCCCCACAGATGAGGGAACAGGAAGGGTGGATTTCCTTGAACCCCTAAGATCCATCACACTTTCACACCAAAGTCCCTTAGGCTAGAAATGTCTGTATCTTCCTCATGCTATGGAGCACACTCACTTTCTTACTTGAACCCTTAGGGGACTTGACACTGGGAGACCATTGTGTCCCCCACCACAAACTGCAGCTGCACCTTATCCTGTCACAGTCACAGTGGCTGTAGCACTATATGGGATGCCCACATCTCTCCCCCTGGTGTTGGCCACACCCTCTCCTTGAGAGTGCAGCAAGGTCTCCCAGGCAATGCAGTCAGCCCTTGGGAGGACCCCAGGACCCCTGGGTGGACCACCAAGCCACCAAGGCTTCCAGGACACACAGAGGAAGTGACACTGTCAGTCTGTGGTCTGTGGCCTGTAAAACTGGGAATAGGAGGGGGTTAGGCCACCAGCTTGGAGACCTGACCCAGAGGTTTCTGCATAACCAGGCTCTAAACTTCACCCATCTTACATCATGGACAGAACCCATGGGTTTTATTTCCTCCCACTGATACACAGAGGGTGGTCAGAAGAAGCAAGCACAAAGCTGAGTACAGGAGCATAATAGGCCTCAATTTCTGGAACACATAATGTCTGTCACAAGTTTCCCACCAGAATCCAGTGTCCTCAGCCTACAAGAGCAGCTCTGCACAGTGCTGCTGCTCCTGGCCCTCGTCCCATCTTGAGGCTGGGAGCTCCTGAGTGAGGGGCCAGGTTTATGTGCTATTCCATCTTTCTTGATCAGAACAGTCCTCCCTTGCTCTGAGCCTCTAACCTCTGCAGTTCTTCTCATTAAAAGAACAGAGTAGCTGAGAAGTCAGTCCTGAAATCCATTGAGTTCAGACTGTGTTCTATATTTTTTCATCAGCAAAACACCCAGAGAACAGTCAACCCAAAGCCTTGCTCCAGTAAGGCTTCTACCTCAATTATAAACCTGCTTATTATGGCAGAACATCAAATACTAAAGGGAAGTAATTATCTGTATTAATTAAGAAATAATAAATGCTACCTTAGGATTGTAGAAAAAAAAGAACACCCAGAGTGACTGCTGGATTACCATATCGACTGGAAAATGTAGAGCAGGTAGAAGATCAGATAACAACTGCTTTTCCTGGCAACAAAACATTACTGAAAATGCTTCTTGCACCTTAGTGATTAAATATCACAAAATTTGGGGTCAGATAAACTTGGACTGAGTCCCTGCCACCTCTATAATATTTTTGCTCTGTTACTATGGCAAGGTAAATATTTATTCAATAATGCTTTATTGCCCCCTGTAAAATGAAGGTAATATCAATACATAATACACAGGGGCTTTATATAGCTAGGTGAGGAACCAATGGAAATGCCTGCACACAGTGTTCAGCACAGGCTTTTCATCAGCGGGAGCTATGCCTCATTTCCTTTAGCATCACCACCATCACCATCACCATCATTCGTATGAGACTCAAAATGACTGCTGCTGTCCCAGAAACACTATAGGATGCATAAAACAGTGAACCACAAAGCAAGAAACAAACTCCACTGGTGTTCCTCAGTCTCCCACCCATGTCAGGCCCTTATTCTCCAAACTCACAGATTAGACCTTAGGAAGTCTGGAGCAAGCATTCAAGGTTGGAGAGACAGGCCTTCAGTTCCCAGGAGGGAAATATGACTCTTGCATGCACATATAAAAATGCCATCTAATTTTTTTTTCAAATTTCTGAGTGGGGAAGTATAAGCTTGCTTGATAAAGATCCACAATGAGAGTCCAAATTAAAAAACAAGTACTGCCACACAAAAGCCTAACTGGCCATGTTCCAACATGGTCCTAGTGGGTATAATTCTATGCACATGACTGTTAGTAGTTAGTTTTCAGTGTGCTATCCTGAAATCTCTGGACTTTGTACGTGAGCACATGTCACAAATGTAATACAAAAATTCATTTCACATCAGCCCTTATGTATATTGTGTCATTTCATCAAATATTACTAAAAACAATTGCCTCCCTCTATGTATAAAATCTATATAGAGTTCCAAATACCTTGCCTTAAAATATCCATTATGGTACATTCTCTTTCTATAATCCATGTATATAAGAGGCATGGAAAAATACTTTAAGGCAAATATGACTTTGACCTAGACTATGTCACACTGAGAGTTGACAGCACATTACCAGTCCCAGCAAGTAGACAAACTTTTATTTATTTATTTATTTGGGTGCTAGGGATTGAACCCAAGGGTCTTAACCATTGAGCCATATCCCCAGCCTTTTATTTATTTTTTTATTTTAGACAGGCTGTCCCTGAATTGCTGAGGCTGGCCTTGAACATGCAATCCACCTGCCTCAGCTTCCCAAGCCACTGGGATTCCAGATGTGTGCCACTGTACTGAGCTGTAAGTACACAATCTTGACTCTATGCTTGATGGGACTAATTGACAACATTGGCCTAGGCATGAAATCCTGGGAAAGATACAAGAGCCAGGTCCCACTTTTTTGTGACAGTACTGGGGATTGAACCTAGGGGTACTCTACCTCTGGGCTATATCCCTGGGCCTTTGATATTTTTAGTTTGAGATAGGATCTCACTAACTTGCCTAGGCTGGCCTTAAAATTGTGCTCTTCCCGCCTCAGCCTCCTAAATCACTGGAATTACAAGTGTGCACCACTGTGCCCAGCTCAGGTCCCACTTTAAACTCAGGAGGTATACCTTCTCTTTCATTGACATCCTGTATCCAGAGATTGTCACCAAGTAGAGAGACCTTCCTTTGGAATCCTCTACCTTGTGACCTCTTCCTGACTGTCGAAACTCAGCAAAATACCCATGAAACCATCCATTTAGGTCTTTCTCACTGTCTCCCCAACACAATAAAGAGAAGCAAAATGACTGTCATCATAGGGGCAGACGGGACAAGGGTATACAGGGAAGAGGTGTCACTTTACTGCTTTTTAATGGCAAATAAACTGCCCTTGGTTACCATTACATTACTGGTTAAGAAACATAACTTTGGGTAAAGCTTTTCCTAGGTATCTCTGACCTCCATTTTTCACTGGGTGGCAAATAACAATGACCTTCATTTTCTAAGGATTTCATGTCATTTAATCTATTACCAGTATCAACCAGAAGAGGCTGAATGTCAATGAGCTGGGCACTAGACACTTTAGTTTGTATTAGACAAGAAAAATGGAATTTGACCTTGGTGAGTGAACTTCATGGTCTGAGATGCCACCTTCTGAATGAAACTTATGCCAACAGAAAAGCGAGGCATTTGAGGTATCCACTGGGACCAAAGGCTACCAGTCTCTCTGAGCATATCTCAGAATAGTACATAGTTACATTGCACTTTTCTTTCCCTCTCAAATTGTGAGATGTTTCCACATGAATTAAAATAAATTTATCACTACACAGGAGAGAAGTGACTTTACAGAATCAAAACAGAGCAGAAACCTGTCTGGCACTGCCAGGTAA